TATATTTAGCCATTTATAATTTTTGATTTTGCTATAAGACCTGTTTACAAATGGCTCAATTCATAGAAATGTGATTAGATCTTTAGTATAAATTTAACATGAAAAGGACAGCTACTAGTATACAGCAATAAAGCAATAAGTAACAACAATAAGTTTTGTTGTGTGGCATTTGATTAGATGTTGATGTCTCCTTCTCTGTGTATTTCTTATGAATGTTTATGTAAACAATGTTTGTGGTTTGCTGAATAATTACTCAGTATTTGCTGAATAATTACTCAGTATCCTTAGTTTGAGATAAGAACTATTTGCGAGTATCATTGTGTATATTTCTCAATTTTCCTTATATCTGTGGGTTCAACACCAAATTAGAATTTAGAACAAATTTCGTTTGAGAAATGGGAGAAAAGATATAAAGCTAACTATAGTTCACCCAGATAATAATCATTGTTTTTTGGACATACAAATTCATTTTATCCCTGAATTATATACTAATTATTGCTGTACATATTCAATGCAACAAGTTTGGGATGAAGCGAGATGATTTCATCATCGTAAAATGATTGTGCAATTTGTCCTCGAAATAGTTATAAATCAGTTTGAGGATGCCAATGTGATTGTTTAATATTTTTTTTTTAAGATAAAGGACAATGCTAAGTCATCCATTTCTCTGAGTAGGAATTATAAAACCCAGTCCCTCTTTGATGTTGATGGGAAGTTAATAAATCTCTTTCCTTTTTTAACTTTTCCTGGGTGGTTATAAGTCACCTCCAATACATTCTTCCTTTTTGTCTAGTTGGCTATTGTCTGATCAGCTGCACTTTACTGAAGAAAGAAATTACCAGGAATAGTACAAACTGGCAACTTAGCTTAGCCATTCTTGAAAACTTGAAGACGGGTTTGATCACTTGATTGGTGACCCTTAAGTAATAGTCTATTGCTTCTGGTGCCATTTAAATCCGATTCTTGATTTAAAGGAAGTCAAACATTAGACGAATGAAGCATGATCACATTGTTAATACTAAAAGACATGGACTGATCAACTTATTCATCGTACGCTTTATGCACGAAAGAGAGAGAAGTTTACTCTTTGAAAATTGGCAAGGAATCGATCATGAGATGTAAATGTAAATGACAAGCTGAGAGAAAAAGGCTACCCTAAATGGATTCAGGTGCTTGTTTGATCATTCTTAAAATTAACAGTTATCTTTTAGTTGTTAAGCAATGGCTGTGGTGGTTAATAATGATCTTTCCTCTTAAAGGAAAAGGGCTTTATATTGGTATAGACTATCTAGCTTTCTTCGTCTACAATTAGGTTATTATACTCGGAACAAAATTCATTTCTTTCCGTCTCTCTTTATTATTAATATTATCAATATATTCTTTTGTTGTTTCAGAAGAAAACCATCTGACAATTCTTTTTTTTTCTTTTTCTTCTTTTTTTTATTTGACAGTAGTCAAATTTCATCTTCTATGTCCTCTAAAATTCAAGTTTATGTGAAAGTAACAGGTGGTAAAGAGGAAAGCTTCTTTGACTCTGAGGCATGGTTTGATTCTGATTGTGAAGATGATTTCTTCAGTGTTAATGGAGGTATGGATTATCATTTCATCTTTTAATATGAATTTAAGTACATTACATCTTGTTATCAGTTTACATTCATTTAATTTTCTTTTTTGCAGACTTTACTCCTTCTTGTGGTAATACTCCAAACCATCAGCTAAGCATCCCCACATCTCCTCAAGTGAACAAATCCCTAAATCCCCCCACACATCCAGACTCCAAATCAGAACTTTCTCCACACGACGGTAAAAAGAAACTCTTTGACCTTCTTCAAGAGAGTGTCCGACATGCTGATACGAACAAAAACACAGATGATAGGAAACTGGATAACGGCCAACCTTTAAAATCTTTTCAAGAAAGTCCTTATCTTTCTGGAACTAACTCCGTTTGGAGCAGTGAACTGACTCCGAGTGGAGATTCAAATTACAAGAAAGAGAGAGCTGGGAGGCATAAACACTGTTGCTTTCCTGGCTTGACGCCAAGCCGTAGTTTCAGTGAGAGGAGGAAGCAGAAGATGAGCCCAGCTCGAGTAAATGAAAGCAGATAATAGGCGGTATGATTATTGTTCTTAATTTTCTTTAAGCTGTTGTTTTTATAAAAATAATACTATTAATAACGAGATTCAAGAGAAAAGACGTAATGTGTGTGAAAGTTTGTAGAGAGGGAAGAAAATAATGGTTTTCTGTATGTTATGTTCTTTACCTTTTAAGGTGTAGAGATACCCATGTAGCAGAAATCAAGAAGCTTTACATGAAATTGGTAGATTTGAATTTTTATTCTTGCTTCTACTTGATGCAGGTGATAAGAAACCGTGTGTTGTTTAGTTGTATTGTCATCCTGATAATTTTGCAACAAATTACCATTTAACTGTTCAAAAGGAACCATTTATGATAATTATCGACATGCTTATCTTTGGTGGTGTTATTAAACTAGGGCATTTTTAGAATGACATCTTCCCAATTATAGATGTTGGTAAATAAAACTTAGTAACATTAAACAAAAAGACACAACCTGCACACACAGGTGTTATGTAATATGCATAAACAAAGAACACTAAGGATACGCAATATGCATAATTAACAAAAAAACACTAATCCGTGCATCGTATGGGCTAAATTCTAGTTGTTATTAAACTAGGGCATTTTTTGTATGAGGTCTACCCCATTATGGAGGTTGAATACAGTAACTTGTAACTTTATATTGTTAATTATGCCTCAAACTATTGATCATTTTATACCACTATGGTTATTAAGTATATCAACTATCACAAGGAAGTTCTGTCACACTTGCCCTCAGCATTCAAGCCACAATGTAAATCTCCATGTAAAATAACACTTGCCCTCAGCATTCAAGCCACAATGTAAATCTCCATGTAAAATAATTGTTCATCTCCTCATGTCGTAGTTATGAGTTATTCTTGTCAAAGGACTCTGGCACTACCTTCTAGGGTAGAGACCCAGACTCATGAAGCAATATCAACATTTTTAAATTCTACTTAGGAATATGTTGCCATCAAAATTCAAACTCGATGCTTTGATACCAGGTCAAAGAACCCTGCCGCTACACTAAAACTCCGAAGTTGTGGTGAGGGTTATGATTTTATCTTCTAGTAATTCTATTTGGTTGAGGGATCCAATAATCTATTTTCATTAATTAACTAGTGGCTTCTCTTTGAAATGCCTCCTAATGTGGTAAATATCCCTTTTTTTGTATATTCTTGCATGTATGTTAGTATGTGTATACTTAAATAAATGTCAAGTTTGTATGTATTTGTTGGTCCGTACATAGTCTATGATATATGTATACACAAAAAAAAAAATTAGTTTAATCAATGGTCAATTGCACACAAACCCCACCTACTACATCGCGCTGTGTCACTTATTATCCCTTAAATTTGATATTGGCAGATGTATCGCGAGTGAATTTTTTTTTTCCCCTTCTACCTCGGGGGCCTATTTGCCAAACAAACGAATGTATGCATTCTTTAAGGGTAAAAGGGTCAACAAGTTTCACTCGAAAGGGACTTCTGTATGCAAATTAACCCTTTCATCAATAGCAAGGGACTTCCTTTTTCCAACTCTCAAGACATGATCATCTTTTGCAGACAAATCGCATGTGGCTGTCATAGTTTCGGTTTTTTGAGCGCGTTCCTGTCTTTATGGGCGCCCGGTGTGGAATGGGCCCACTCATCAATTGAAGAGGGCTTTGTGATGGCGGTGGTGGTGGTGGTTGTGTTTTTCTTCTTCTCCCTCCATCATGTTTAATGATCACTTCTGTCATCCGCAGCGTTCTACTTTTATGTCTCAATTCTATTGATGAGGAGAGTAGGGTGTTTGTTATCTGTCTCTTTACGCTTGCTCAACAATCATGGCTTTTATCCCAAAACAAAATATGACGTTGTCTATTTTTAAAAAGTATAACAAACTCGTAAAAACGATTACCGGCATAACTTGTTGCCCGCTTGTCATCATCACATCTGTAATATTTTGGTTTTGCTCTTATAATAAAGGAAACAAATAAAAAAAGAAAAATAAACTCAAAAAAATGGTTTTTTTTTTTAAGTATTCGCTTATTCGTCGAATTAAGTACGACTCTGCTGGGGATCGAACCCAGAATCTCTGGTTTCGTAGACCAGCGCCTTATCCATTGGGCCACAGAGTCGGGAACGAAAGCGTTTGTATTTGACGTGATGTGAACACGTGCTTACGTACCTCTATTTGTTACTTGCAGTAATTTGTTGCGGACGGCAAAAATATTATAATGCAATTAAGAAATCTCATAATAAAAGTGAGAATTTTTTTTTTTAAAGCCAGCAAGAAACTAGTTGTTAATTATATATTAGTAAACAAAGGAGTCGATCTATGAGATGCAGACCGACGTACATAGCGCTCAACTCATTACGGCGGAATGTGTTTTAACACAATCCAAGTTTCGGAAATGTGTTAACTAACACAAACCAAATTTGATTTATAACATGATTTCCAATTTGAATTAGAGGTCCACAAATCTTGAGAAGGAAAGGATGAACACCGTGTCGTCGATCGGAAAACCTCATGGCAATTTTTGTCCTAAAATATGTAAACTTTAATTACAGAATTTACTCTTTATTCTTGGTACGTGATGATATTTCATGTTCTTTATTCGTGATATATCATAATAACTATTATAGACTCAAAAAAGCCTCAAAACACACCAAATCAATGCTCGCGTCAAGAGGAAACAACACTTCTTATATAAGAGAAAAAACTCCACTTTCTTTGCCATCCAAAACCGCCAAGCCGTAAGAAAAACATGCCCAAATCGAAAATCAGACGGGGGTCATACATAATTTATTCCAATTTCATCACAGAAACGTTGCATTAACACTAAACGTTCTTGAGCCCTAGGCTTCAATGGTCACAGTGCACAAGCACAACCCCGGAGCCTTGAGCGACGAAGTCCCCCACTCCTTCCCTGACTCCGCCTCTGGGTCATATACCAATGTTTGATACCCTAGATCCTCCTTCATCGAAAACAAGAGCAGCTTCCCATCAAGAATCCCAAACCTAAACCCTACAGCCAAACTCCCAGTCAGCGGAAGCTCGACCTTATTCCACGAATTCTCGTCCAAATCAAACACCGCCAGCTTCCTCTGGTTCTTCCACTCAATACAAAACAACCTCTTGCCGATAACAGCATGAGCGGTGACCATAACACACCCATTCTTCAACTCTAGCCATGTATGATTCTTAGAATTATAGATGTCGATAAATTTAGAGTGGCCTATAGTGAAGCTTGAACGACCACCCATTATGTAGACTTTGTCTTTGAAGCCACAGGCAAAGCAACCCCATCTTGGACGCCGAAGGCTTTCGATTAGTGTCCATTGATTTGTGTCGGGGTCGTAGATTTCGGCACTTGAGAGGCTCCAGCGACGTAGATGAGGCCGTTGACTTCTGTGCAGGCGAAGTCGAAGCGGGCGATGTTCATCTTGGCTAGTGTGCTCCAGCTGGGAAAGATATTGTGTAATTCAGAGAAAGTAATTTATAGTATAATTATTAGTTTTGATTGAATCCATTGAAAGATGCATACTTGCTAGAAGTTAATTTATGTGAAGAGGAAGATGAAAGAAGTTGTAGGTATGCTTTGGCACCTGCTTCCTTTTGGCAACTATGTGTATGCATGAATGGATGTGTGTGTCTGCATGTATATGGATGTGTGAATTTACATACAAATGGCTATTATCATTGTTGTCATGAAAATATATTCAACTATGAAGAGCTCGAAGAAAAATGTCGAGCTTATTATATGCTAGAAATCATTTTTGAGGCTTTTAAGAAAAAAAAAACTCCTAGAATAGCACTTTCCTGTTAATCTCAGACAATGTTAAGATCCTACTTTCAACTGACCTTAAGATGTCTTTAAAAGGAAAAGATAGAAATGGGACACCAAATAGCCATACGGGATGACATATATAAAACCCATCTTCGAACTACAATGTGATAAGCGCATGCACACGCCGAAACATGGGTACTACATAGACATGAACATAGAGATATCCAACATAACTAAACTGTCCACTCCACCAACAGTAGTGCCAATGTATATATAAATTAACATGACATGACCTAAAATTTCGTATAAAACAGAAAAATAAAATTTGATAGTTTGAGACAAAATTTAATAGTATGAATGCTCAGAATATTACTAATTGGTCACATACCTGTTGAGTCGACAGTCATATTGATAAACATCTGCAGAAACACAAGCAGTGCCAATATCCACAGAATAACCGGCCATAATCAAAAGCTTTCCATTGACAACAGTAACTCCAAAGCCAGCTTTTATAGGGCCAGGCATTGGCGGCAAAATCTGTTTTTCACCTCCAAATCTCCCCAGAACCTCCCAATGGCTTCCTTTTCCTTCAGCATCACCAATCAATACATAAAGCCATTCCTCAAGCTTACCAGCTTCTTTCCTCACAGTAATGAACTCCTTGCTTTGAATGAAGGACCTCCATTTTTTGCAAACAGTACTCATAACAGGGAGGTAACTTCGAGGTACAAGTGCAAGGCAAAATTTCGCCACATCCTCAGGTAATCCCGGCAAAATTGGGCAGTACAAATCTCTAGTTTCTCTTTTAATTACTGTGGAAATTTTCAACTTATTTTGAATTTCAGTAGAGAAACACATCTCTGAGTCAGCAAATTGTCTACTTAAAATGTCATGGCAAGGCATCGATCGCTTGAAGTGAGAAGCTCAGAGATTGCAATTGTTTGGAGAAGTTATAAATAGCAGAGATCGGAGATCAGCGATTCGTGGTATCCATCATTTATAGGGATTTTAAGAGACCAAGGCTTGAAAGATGGGGCAATGTGGAAAACTCGGGGTGTGAATTTGAGTAAAGCTCCGAACTTTGTTTGGGCTGCTTTATATGCCATTCCAGAACTCCTTCTGTGAGAAATAGTGCCACAGATAGAAAGATAAACCCTGATCTCTTCCTTCCCGCTGTTAGAATTGTTCTCTTGTGCACACATTGCCCCAATATCTAAGTAGTGTCCAATCAGCCGTCTCAGATCAATAAGTTATTTAAACAAAGAGAAAAACACGGAGTAAGAGGAAGATATTATATACCAGACAAGACCGTAAAATAAAAATATTTAGCCCCCGGAGACATCCATTATGTTGAACTACTGCAACAAAAATGAATATATTAGAATATAAATCTAAATAAAGTGGATTTGCTGGATCCACAAAATTAAAATTAAAATAAAATCTCAAACGCTGAATAGAGATTGGTAACCTCTAGAGCATTTTAGAAGTGTGAAGCATATAATAGATCAATGAATGTATTCCTATGATCACTGGTCGCATTTTTATTAACAAATAAATGTCAATCCTGAATCATTTGCAACATGAAGCTCATGATAAAAAATCTGGATCTTCAATAGGATCCCTCCCTTTGTGTGTCTGTGTATAATATAATGTACATGAGGAGTGAATATAACTTATTTTCCTCATGCTTGACTAATAAAAGTACTCTTTTCTTCCCCCTCTATAAATTTATTTTCCCTCCGCCACACCCAAAAAAAGGATGGAGGTAAAGAGTGTGATTATGGAAATATCTATAATAGAAATGCAGAACACAGAATCATGAAAGATTGGCTGCACCGAAAGCAAAGGGGGGTGGGGGGCAGCTAATGTAGACAAAAGGAAAAGAGCAAGCGCCAAAAGAAGAAATCAGAGTCAAAAAGAAGGTGACCACTAATAAATTATTAGTGCATAGTGTTTTCCCAAACACTATAAATAGGCTCACAAATTTTCAGAAAAAGATCATCCCAGAAACAACTCCTCTTATAGAAGAGTAAGAGAGAGAAAAGAAATGCAAAGAGAAAATGCCCCAGTGAGAAAAAATTGGGAGCAATTTTCAGAGTGAAATTTGGGATACAAGTTGTGTGTAAAAAACTCTTGTAAACTTTCTCCTCTTAGTGAAAGATCTGTAGCAGCACGTGGACGTAGGCAATTTGAACCACGTTAAATTTACGTGTCATTTTATTACGTACTTATTTCGCTTTTTCATAAATCTAGTTATACATGAAAGTTACTATTCATGTACCTTGCAGAAAATTGACAGAAATCACAACCACACTTATCTCATAAACGTTGTTGGGAAATTACACAAATTCCCCAATAACCAGATTTATGAGAAAACAAAATAAGTGTGCAATAAAAGGATACACAAATTTAACGTGGTTCGACACAAAATTACCTACCTCCACGGGCTGCTGCAGATCTTTCACTAAGAGGATAAAATATAAGAGTTTTTTACACACAACTTGTATCCCAAATTTCACTCTGAAAAGTGCTCATAATTTTCTCTCATTAAGCATTTTCTCTTTCTTTTCTCTCTCTTACTCTTCTATAAAAGGAGTTGTTTCTAGAATGATTTTTTCTGAAGATTTATGGGCCTATTTATAGTGTTTAGGAAAATACTATGCACTAATAATTTATTAGTGGTGGGGCCCGTGGTAGGGCCCGCTCACCTTCTTTTTGACTCTGGTTTCTTTTTTCGATGCCTGCCATTTTCCTTTTATCAACATTAGCTGCCACCTCCCCCCATTGCTTTCGGTGCAACCAATCTTGACAATCTCCTACTTGAAGACTGATTTCAATTCGTCTTCACATCTCGATCTATACAGCAGCTCTTCCCCGATCTTAATACTATTGCAGGCCAACTGAAGCTGTGTTGGCCAACTGAAGCTAAACACAGCTTTAGTTTGTCAGTAGTCACTGTCTTTGTCATCATGTCTGCCGGATTTTGAACTCTACTGATCTTTTCAAGTTTTAAAATTTCATCTTCCAAAAGTGATCAGATAAAATGATACCGCACATGTATGTGCTTCGTTCTGAAATAAAAAGACGGATTCTTCGCTAGATGAATAACACTTTGACTATTACAATATAAGACATCATCTTCTTGTTTCTTACCTAATTCATCCAAAAAACTTTGAAACCAAACCATTTTATTGTTGGCTTCTGTAACAGCAACATATTCTGCTTCAGTTTGTAGAGAGAGCAACTATCTTCTGCAGTTGAAAAACCCAACTCACTGCAGTGCCTCCTAGAGTATAAACATACCCTGTAGTGCTCTTTTTGATATCAACATTTCTTGCTAAATCAGCATCCACATAACCTGTTAGTATTGTATCTCTACATTTGAAACAAAGTGTTTTATCTGTGGTGCCCCGTAAATATCTGAGGATTCATTTGACTGTTTCCCAGTGTACCTTACCCGAATTATTCATGTACATGCTAATAGCTCTTACTGCTTGAGCAATATCTGATCTTGTACAAACCATGACATACATCAGACTTCCAATTGTTGAAGCGTACGGGACCTTTACCATGTGTGCACTCTCTTCCTCTGTCTTTGGTGACTACTCTTTAGAAAGTCTAAAATGAACACCTAAAGATATACTCACTGGTTTAGCATCTTGCATATTGTAACCTAGAGAGTACTTTGTTGATGTACTCAGCCTGTGATAACATCAAAGTCCCAGACTTCGTCTCTCTTGATTCTCATTCTAAGAATCTGCTTTGCAACGCCAAGATCTTTCATTGCGAACTGCTTTGACAATTTTGGTTTCAAATTTATATTCTCTTGCAGATCTGAACCTACAACGAACATGTCATCAACGTATAATAATAAAATAATAAAGTTATTGTCAAACCTCTTGAGATAGCAACAATGATCTGCTTGGCATCTAGTAAAACCGTTACTGCTCATAAAGCTGTCAAACTTCTTGTACCACTGCCTGAGAGCTTGTTTTAATCCATACAAACTCTTCTTCAAACGACATACTAGATTTTTCTTGCATGTCTTTGTACATCACATTCTCATTGAATATGACATCTCTGTTTCTAATGATCTTTCGATTTTCATACTCCCAAAACCGGTAACCAAACTCATCACCACTATAACCAACAAAAACACATTTGTTAGATTTATTATCAAGTTTATTTCTTTTAGCAGAATCTATGTATACATAAGAGATACAACCAAAAACACTTAAATGCGAAAGGTTTACCTCTTTTCTGCTCCAAGCTTCTTTCGGTATTCCACCATCCAAAGGAACTAAGGGTCCGTGGTTGATTAGGTAGGTTGCGGTATTAATAGCTTCAACACATAGGAACTTGGGCAACCTGGCATGTATCCTCATGTTTCTGGCACGTTCATTCAAAATTCTGTTCATGCGCTCCGCTACGTCATTCTGTTGTGGTGTCATTAGAACTATTTTCTCTATCTTGATTTCGTTGTTTGCCCAAAATTCTTTGAATCTACTGTCTTTGTACTCTCCTTCATTGTCTGACTTTAACCGCTTTTTCTTCATATCAGTTTTATTTTCCACTATAGCCTTCTATTTTCTGAATGTATCAAAAACTTCTGATTTCTTCTTCAGAAAATAGACTCACATCTTTCTTGTAGAATCATGAATGAAGATGACATAGTACAGTGAGCCTGTAAGAAATTGAACTGGAGATGGTCCTCATACGTCAGTTATGAACCAGTTCTAACTTTTTTGCCTTGGGTGTCTTGCCAATCTTTGCAAAACTGACTTTTTTGTTTGCTAAAGATGCAATCCTCGCATAGGCCAACATTTACACTCTTCAGATCCGATAGCTTCCCTTTCGATAAAAGTGTCTTCATCCCTTTCTCGCTTATATGGCCAAGCCTTTAGTGTCATAGGTTTGATTTTTCATCTGTATCTGTTACTACAATAATAGTTTCTAAGTTAAAGGTTACATAGAGAGTACCATTTTTCTTACCTCGAGCAATGACGAGTGCTCCTTTGGTAATCTTCCATTCATGACCTGAGAATGTTGTACAGCAACCCTCTCCATCTAGTTGTCCCACAGAGATCAAATTCCTTTTAAGGTTAGGGATATGTCTCACTCCTTGTAGCTTCCATTTGATCTGATTTGACAATTTTAATCGGATATCTCCCTTACTAACTATCTTCAAGGTTTCATCATCTGCTAAATGTACTTTTTTGAAATCACCGTTGATGTAGTTCTCTATGATTTCTAGGCATGGGGTGGCATAGAAGGATGCCCCTAAATCAAGAATCAATGATTCAATTGGATTGTTGACGCTTAGAATCATAGCATCACCTCCTTTCTCGGTCACGTTGACAGATTCTTGTGCGTCGATATTTTTCTTCGATGCTCGACACTCCTCCTTGAAATGACCCTTCTTGTCACAATTATAACAGTTAAAATCTTTCTTTCCCGATCTAGATTTACTCCTTCTAGATTTCGATCTATCGCGACTTGAACTTCTTTCTGAAGTTCTCCCCTTAGACTCCGTATAAAGCTGAAGAGGTTGATGTTTCACTCGATTTTCTCTGCCGAATTTCTTCACTAAGAACCAGATCACGAACATTATCAAATTTCAACTTATTGTTTCTCGACGAGCTACTTAGCATTCTAACTTTCTGATAGAGAAGACAAAAGTATCAATACTCGTACTTCTTCATCAAACTCAATTCCAACTGAACTCAACTGGGTTGTAACTGTATTGAGTTCAATGAGATGCTGAGCTATCGATACGCATTTTGTCATCCGCAAATTGAATAACTATCTCATCAAGTGAACTTTGTTTGAGGCAGATGACTTTTCATACATACTACAGAGAGCCGCCATAAGACCCGACGTGATCTTTTCCTTTGCTTTGTTGTGAAAGCAATGTTGCGGGATAGCGTCAATCGGATAACTCTAAGAGCTTATCTGTCAAGAAGAACTCACTCTTCATCCTTCATGTCATCTGGCTTAGTTCCTGAGAGAGGTTGATACAGTTTCTTCTGATACAGATA